TGCTATCAGGTAGGATGGGTTTGTTCTTAGGCCTTGACGTCCCACAGTCAGCAGCAGAGCTCTGTCCTGGGTGGGTCACCACTTCTGTGATGTGCTCTTTTTGCCTTCACCTCAGAGACCTATGGAAGGTGACAAGGGACCGGTTTATTTTGTATGGCATGTGGATTGATGTTTATCTGAGAGTGGCTTATGTGTAGGTTTTAACACGTTTTAATTTTTTTGCAACCAAGGTGCTTTCCAAATTAATAAAAGATACTAAAAAATTCCTTCCTGTGCTTAAACAGACTCAGATTTTGTGTTTTACTCAGATTAGGAAATAATACTGAGTAGGGTAAGAAGAACGCTGGGTTACAGAATGTTCTTGCTTCATTCATTTTGTCAATTGCAGTTTTATTTTTCATTATTTATAAGACCACAATGTACTAATTTAGAGTAGCATATTTCTGTACAGTAATGAAATTAGTGACATGAGCCTTAATGCAGCACTTGCTGTTTGCTGAGTAATATACACATTAATTATGTGCATATTAGAATGGCTTTAAAATAGATATAGACTCAGCTGGAGGGTTAAGGTGGTTTAGACTTGCTTGTTCTTCATGTAGTTAAAAATAGTGTCATCTAAGACCCGATCCTAAAGAAGTACATGAAATCAGTGTGACTATTCGTGGAAGGAAGGTTCTGGCAATGTGAAATTCTTTCAATCTCTGTAGGGCCGGGCCTTAGCCAGCAGGCATTAAAGAGCAAATTTCAGTGTTTTTAAGGGCAATATTCTTGTTAAGGTTATATATATAAGGTTATCTTATTCCTATTTCCTTCTAGTTAAAAGCTACGTAACAAGACTGCCTTCTCTGTCCCGTACGAGTTGCTGCAAAGCCTGTTCATGCTCTGCTGCTGTTACTGATGAGCGCGGGTGTAAAGGCTGGAGAAGCGCTGGCCCTGTGGGCCTGGAACATGACTTTGACAGAACAAAATGCTGTCAGATTCACAAGGCAAACAGACTTGAAAATAGAGAAAATATTTTTTCACGTTTTTTAAGTTTTATCACTGAGCTGTGCTATTTGTAGTAGTAGTAGACATAACATTTGCAGAAAGCAATGTGACAGATCTATTCAGCTGGCAATACGAAGTTTCTCTGTACTGATACCACATCTTGCCAACAGTTCCTATCCTCTGGTGAAAGTTATGTGCAGTTACCTAACAAGACAACTGGCTGTCTTCATTATGCATTTCCATTTTTTCGAGCCGGAGATAAGACATGCCCAGCTACGCCAGGAATCAAAACAACCCGACACGTCCATTCTTGTTTGGTGCAAATGCTGCTCCGTATTCTCGGAGTGAAACAATTATATTCCCTGTATTGTCACAGGTTCTGCTATTTAGTGGTAATAGCTGTCAAGCATCAAAAAAACCCACAACAAAACAAACCAAAAAACAAACCAACTGAGGATATTCTTCCAAGCAAGTGCCCTACCTTACTCCCTATTTTGCTTCTTTTAGCTCCAGGCTAAGGATACTGCTTCTGAAACAGGAGTGATTCACCCCTTCCAGCTACACCAGCAGCCAGTCTCCTAGGGTTTGGTTTTCCTATTCACCCTCTTACAGTGGCTTGCTATGAAACATGCATAATCAGTGCTTTCTTGCAGTCCTCGCAGGGCCTCTTGAAAGCAAGGACTGGCTGGATGAACAGAACCCAGGGGCTTTGCCCCTCAAAATTCCGTGTATGTGAATAGGTCACATCAAGTAATTGAGCTGCCTTTTCTTTCTCCTGGAGACTTTTCTAGAGGAACTGCCATCACCTTACTGGGAGACCGAAGCGGTGAGATGCAGACCCGTGGGTGCCTTGCCAGGTAAGCGCTCCTGCGCTCCTCGCAGCAGAGGTGGGTGGAAGGGCTGGGCGCAGGAGACAGGAGGGTCAGGAGCTCCTGGTGCGACTCCTGGCTGATCCACCAGCCCTTCTGTTGAGTCACGCAGCTCCGGCCGGGCTCCACACGACCGAAGGGACAGTCGCACACTACTGCACGGGGGGCGAATATGGGGACGGCTGAGAACACAGCCTCCTTTAGCCTGCTGAAGGATGCGGGGTCAGCGTGTAAAGCTTTGCCACAAAATCACACCTGGCATTTACCCACGCATCCCTTTGGGGGAGGCCGTGCCACACACCCTGCGGTTGTTCCCCACTTGTAGCCTCCTCCTTCAACAGGTTGATACAACAGATGGGTGTTCTAGAAAGCGTGTGACTGAGTAAACCCCGCGGGGTGGATGGTGGCTCTCTGAATAAACCCCACAGGGGAAGAGCGCTTGGTGGAGATGGGCAAGGGTGAGGGTGGAGATGGGCAAGGGTGACGTGACGCTCAGAGAGCAATGCAAAGAAGCTGACTTTATCTCATTGCGAAGGAGACCCGGGGTGGCCTTTGGTTTAGGTAAACAGCTATCAACAGCTGAGTGGATCAGCTGGAGGTGTAAATGTCTCCCTGAGTTAGCCCCTCTGGCCTGGGGGGGGGGAGATTACGTGGCTCAGCCCAACCTAGGGTAAAACAACTAAACAACTAGCAGAGGAATTTCAAAGAGCGCAATGGGCTTGAGCTGGCGTCAACCCTCACGTTCCCTCCCTTGTCCTTGCTTAAACACGACAACCATTCAGTACTGGGTTAGTAAAATGACCCGTGTCTATAAAGCTGGTCACCCAGGCTCTGCCTGTCATCCTGACCTCCAGAGTACAGTGCCAGTGCCGCTTACCAGCAGCTCAGCGACTCCTGGGGCTTGTACTAGAGATGCAGGGGGACAGCCAGCACTGACTGTATGGATGGAATAGTAATTTATTACAGTATTGTCCTCTGTGTCCTCCTATTAGGGAGAAAACTGCAACAGTTATTTGTGCAAACCATTCAACACAAATTTAGGCAGGATTTTGTTAATCCATTTTGGGAGACGCTGAGTCCTTTGGTGGCAGTTGGTTTCTCACATTTCTTTAAAGAATATGTGCGTGTGTGTGTATATATATTGCAGAAAGGCAGAAAAAAATTGAAAGAACGACTCTCTTTGGTTTTGCTTCTAATATGCTTGTTAGAAAGAAACCTAGGCAATGGAGAAAGTACGGAAATCTCACCAGGAGCACCATCCAGGTACAGGTACCAAATGCCTGCACGCACCTGAATTCAATTGATGCAAAGAAGCCGAATTTAAAATGCACTAGGGAACAAAACAGGGCCAGCTGGAGGATTTCCTGTAAGAGCAAGGAGAAGCCTGGGGAGGCAGCAGGCAGAAATGCTGAGCTGTGACGCATTCCTCCTGGCTGTGAGTAGTGTATCGGGAATGGGAATGTCTTGGTTTGGTCATTTGGCCTAGTGAACTCTTCCAGTTAAAATTTTTTTCATCTAGCAATCAAGATGTTGAAGGGATTTGTATTTTCATATGTATATATATATATATAAATGTATATATGGGGTGAGGTCAAGTAAGTCTTCATTATAAAAGGCTACATAAATGCTGTGCTTCTGTCTCTGAGCACAAAGAGAAGCAATAGAAGGTACAGAATAACTTGTCAGGGTTACTCCGAGCTAAATGACTTACAGCTGTGTAAGTTGGGTCAGTATTTGATTTGAGAAAACCTTTTGTCACTGAGCAACGGTACCATGAGTTTTGGGTTGTCGCTCTCTATAGAGAGGTGGGTTCTTGCCTGTCTGCAGCATCTCTCTCCCATGCCAGGGGATTGGGTGCTGGGACTGTGGCAGCTTCCCAGCTCCTGGGGGGAAGAAGTGGGCTTGGGGAAAACACCAGGAGGATCCTGGTAAATGAGGAGGAGGTGGCTGTGGAGGTTTTCAGTGCTGCTGGGACACTGCTGCCGACAGGCACGCGTGTGGTGTGGTGCAGCCCCTGTCCTATTTCATCCCGGCCTCACCTTGTCCTCCCATGCCAGCAGCTTTTGACGCATGTGTGGGGAGGCTGGGGGTGCCTGACCCAGCAGAGCGGCTCCCGTGCTCTCAGCTCTTTCCTACAGTGGTGACGATGGCAGGCGGCACTCACAGCTCCATAAAATGCCTCTTCATAGGTTTGACTATCTCACAGACTTTCAAAGCTGCTAGTTTTCCAGTATTTCCTTTACCAGGCATTAACAAAAAAGCTTCTTTAAGTCCAGTAAAAATGCATTTAATTCAGTACTTATCTTGCAGTCTCAATCTCATCATACCTCTAATTTTAACGTAGGCTGAGTCATTTTCATCCTACTGCTTTAAAATCAGGCTATGGAACATGGTCTTGTTCTGATATGTTTGGGAAGTAGAACAATTTTTCTCTTGCTCTTAGTCAGATCTGTCCTGCCAAGCTTCTATCACTTTGTGCTCTTAGATATAAAAATAACATATAGTTGGGGATGATTTGCAATTTAGTTTTATTGCTCTAAGCAAAATTGAAATGTGAAGGATGCCAGCTTACACTATGTGGATTGATTTATACTTTCATTTAATTTATTTTTATAAATCCCAATGAAAAAATTAACCTTGTTAATTTGCGTTGTGTATGCAGTACAGCAGTGACGCAGTCATTGCTTTCTCTGTCTTGTTTTATCTGTGGCCTACTGGTTCCTCGCCTGCCTGCCTATCAAACCCTCCTCTGAGGTTGTAGTTATTAATGTTTTCATGCTTAAAGTACTATATTGTTCCCTGTTCTTATTCTTGAAAATAGCTGATTTGGTTTTTGCAAATTGGAGACAGACTCTTGGCATGGAAAATACAGGTGGAACGGTTGGAGTTTGGCGATGCCGTGAACTAGTGGAAACAGTTGTGATGCAAAGCCTTGACAATAGGTAGAGCTATTCCAAATGTCCTGTCTGCATGTTCGTATCCCTGCACGTGTGGGGACAAAAAACAGAAGGTACAAGGGGAATGCTATAGTACGCGTGTGACCGTAACGCCTCTAAAATACTGCACTCCTGGGTGCGCAGTTTAGGAAGAACATGGCAAAACTATGTTTTTGAAGAACATGGAAAAATAGTGAAAACAGGACAAATCTAAGGTTGCAGGGCTGAACAAGCTTTATCTGTTTACATACAAAATCTGCTGGTGAATCTGGGCTGATCTAATTTTGCAACTCACATGAACTGTAAAGCTGTGACTGATTTTTACTTTTTAAAATTGTTTATTTTTGCTTTGAATTCACTTGAACCTTCATCTCGACAACAGTTTGGGACTTCAGAAGACGTGGGTTGTAATAGAAGCACGTGCTCTACCAGCCTATGGAGAGTTGTTTCACCTCTTGGCGGTCAGAATGCTGCTATTCCACCTCAAACTGGGCACTGTCCTGCTCGGCCGCTGGTGCTGCGCTGGCAGGGGGAAGTGTGAGATAAGGCCTGGGGCTCAGCTGCGTCCCAGGCCGGCACAAGTTTAACCTGCTAATGTTAAGTGTGGGTTTTGGCTTCACTTATGGGCCTGGTGAAGCTTTATTTCTACCATCAAAAGGGCATTAAAGATCTCCATTCACTCTCAAGTATGCGTCAGTTTGCACAACCAAGAAGCCTCTGGCTTGCTAGGCTGGCCTTGGCAAGGCTCAGGGTTAGTCCTTGCTTACAGACAGGCTAACAATTGCTAGCCACATTAGTGGAAACACCATCTCTTTTTAAATGGAAAAAGATAAAGCCAACTAAAAATCAGGTTATCTGTTTCTTTTCTACCTCCTGTTTCAAATGTACCGGTCTGCTAGGTGAAAGTAAAGCATCTTACAGCAGCAAAGAAATCCAATACATTATTCAATAGGATTTTTTTTGTTTGTACATAAATTATCTGCTTAAAAAGTTGGTTTGGTGGAAAAAATGCTAACCTTATTATGTATTATTCTGTGTTTTCCACATTTATGGTGGCATGTAAGCAACAACAAAAAAAGATAATGGTAGCAGATGTGGGGAGATGTTCATGCATTGTCTGGTTGCTTGCTGACCAGGGACTAGGCCAGGATGATCAGTCTCCTCTTGCAATAGCCATCACCTGGCTGTGCCTTTCAGTCGTTTACAAGCAGGTGTCTCATTGCCAGTTCCCTAAAAGCTGCCACCTGCAAAAGCTAGTTTTCTATTTGTACCCGTGGGTTTATTTGCTGTTTTGAAAACATTGCACAAGTGGATCTCCATCCAGCTAGACAGACACAAGCTTGAGTGGTAATTTAATTTCTTCCCCTAGTGACTGCTGCCCTATTGCATCTTGTGCTGTGCATGGGGCATTTCCGTTTTCTTACAAAACGAGGTGATGGAGCGTGTAGCAATGTTGACCAATGTCACTTGTCAGGTGCCTTCTAAAGGACCAGGTGAGGCTGAGTGTAATCACTCAAGAGGACATGTTGGTCTCTATTTCTCCACAGCCTCAGTACAACAATAGAAATGGTGTTATCAGAAACACCACTTCCAATAATGAAGATAAATTTATTAAGACAAATGTAGACTGAAGTAAAGGAACACTTAACAAATATTTAAAAGCACGCAAAGGTGGATCCTGTGAACAGTGTGTGTCAGGGCAGGGCTTCAAGTAGGTGGTCCCTTTGTACCACTTATCTAGATTTGGCTTCTAGGTAATTAAACTGGTTATTTTTTTGCGAGTACTTTAGAGTTTGAAAGCTCTAAGGTCTTAAATTCGCCATTTGCAATGTAACTGATGAAAATGCAAGCATTAGCTGGAATGAAGTTAGTGTTCGGCTAGGCAACAATTTTCTGTTCTCAGGCTGCATGTGGGGTATTTTGGGGGTATTTTTAGGGTATCTTATTTCTGCTTAGATGTGCACATTTATACTAGCAAGTTCAATTCTTCAGGGTCTTGAGATCAGATGACTTTTCTTACCTGTCGCTTCCACTGAGCTTTCTTTAAGATTG